ATTTAATCACATTTGTTGATTCTTGGAACCATGTCTGATGCTATCTAAGGCCCATACCTATAACTTGAATCGTACTGTTTCAGGTTTTAATTCTTTGTGATGGGGGATTGGTCAGGGTCTTACTATGTAACCTGAATTTACTATGTAGTAACCTGTCTGGCCTTGAACTGATAGAAATCTTCCTTCCAATGCCTCCCATGTGCTGGGATTAATGGCATGGGCCACCATGCTTCAAGGTCATTTCCTCTTCTTCTAAAAATTTTTTTCAGAAGAGACTTATTTTTAATTCTCTTTCTGTGTGTGTGTCTGTCTAGCTGTGTCTATGTGTGGGTAGGTTTATGTGAGTGCAGGATCCTATAGAGACTAAAGGTGTTGCATCCCCCTGAAGGTAGAGTTACAGGCAGTTACAAGCTGCTCATCATATGTGCTAGGTCTTCTATAGGACCAGTATGTGCTCTTAATTACTGAGCCATGTCTCTAGTCCCCAGTTTTATGGTTTAAGTTGGGGTCTTTGATCCAATTTGAACAATTTCTTGTGGATCTAATTTCATTCTTCTTCAGGTAGACAGATATAATTTCTACCATCATTTATTACTAGTTTTGATTTTCTTTTTTCTTTTCTTTTCTTTTCTTATATATAGTCTCATTATATAGCCCAGGATGGCCTCAAACTTGAGGCAACATTCCTGTCTCAACCTCCAAATGGCTGGAATTACGGGTATAGGCCTAGCCAATTTTAAGAGCAGCAAGTACTCTTAAGTCCTGAGCCATCTCTACAGCCCCAGGAAGGAATATTTTAATTCAGGAGAAAGAGGCACACAACTGGGTCACATGGTAATTCTATTTTTAATTTTATGAGGAGGGTTGATCCAGTATTCTGTTTTTCATTATTGCTATTATTGATTTGCATTCCCGTTAGCAGGCTACACAGGGTTATTTTCTTCATACTCTCATCAACATGTGTTGCTGCTCTCATACTAATGCATCCTAGGACGGGAGCTCATATTTTTATTGTAGTTTTGTGTTTCCCTAGGAATTATTAATGATGAGCCGGGAATAATTTGTAACTAATAGTTTATAAAGGGAGTGTTTCATATACTAGTAGCTTAAGGTCCCTCTCTCCTTGCGAAGTCCTCCACATTTTAACTTCTCACCGGGTGCTGGAAATGCCACAGCCAGCTTTGTTAACAGGAATGCAGGAGCAAGGTGAAAAGGGCCTTGACTCGACCATCTGAGCTTGTAGTCCTTCTCAGGGCTAGGCATATAGCTTAGTGGTACAGTGTTTGTTTAGCAATGTACAAGGTCCTGGGCCTAAGCCTTAGCACCACAAACACAAAAGGGTGGAATGTGAAGACACTCTGTGAGCTCATGATACTTACCAGGCCCCATCTAGTCCTCATCTCCACCGACTACAGAATTTGAGATTTACATGGAGCAGTTCATCAGGGTGAGCGGGGAAGCTTGAGGGATCCAGTGATTGCCTCCACTTTGGGTTTCAGCTTCCGCTGTCACACACATGTGCCAGTGCTGGACACATTGCTCAATCTCTTGAACTTCGATTTCGAGGGGATTGTTGATCAGCTGGTTGGCCTAGGAGGTGGGGGCAGAGCCCTAGACTGGCCAGCAGTATCTTGGAAGGCGTTTGCCTTGTCTAAGGCTTCTGCGGGGGTGGGGGGAGTTTAATAAGTAAGAGGCAAGTGGGAAGTGGGGCTTTGTTCAACAAGGGGGGGGTTCACCCACTTCCCAGACCCTAGGGGTTCTAAAAATTGGAGGAGTCAAGATTCTCAGGGGCTTCTATTCAGATGTCCCTTGGTAAACTATTCTGGTAGCTTAAGCCCTGCCTGTTCCCTCATGAAAGTGTAAATTGGATGAGGTCAGAGCTGACACCACCTAAGGGGAACAAGATTGAAAACCTAGTTTTTATCGGATGTACATTGACAACCCACAGAAGGGTTTTCAGCAGGATGAAATGGTTTTAACTCTGTTTTTATCTCCCTTTTCATGTAGGATGCCGATTATCAAGTAATTTTTGCAAAAAAAAAAAAAAAGAAAAAAGACAGAATGTTTTACATTATGAACCTTCCTTTTTGTACTCACGATTTGTATATGAGATTCCTTAATCATGGTTCCTCTTGAAGCTCTATGGTGATGTGTAGTTTGGAGACCGCTGTTTTCAAGTCTTGCATTGGTAGTCTTGTAGGCACCCTTGGTGCTTCAGGAGTTTCTCTTTGAGGCTGAGGCCCAGGATCTCACACAAGGCCTGCAAGTGCCCTATCACTGAGCTACAAGTATTTGACAAATGCTTTTTATCTTGGATGATTTTCCTCAAAATGAGGTTTTAATCAAAGGAAACCATGATGTTCTCTTCTAGTCTACTGGTCTCAGAACACTATATAATTCACAGTAATTTTAAAGATCCGATTATCACCCTTTCCATTTATGATATTTCTGGGGTAGCCTCTAGACCTCCTCTCACAACACTGACCTTCTCAAGCAATTCTGTTTCGGACTGCTTCCGTGAAGCAGAATGTGCATGTTGCAGTTCGCTTTCTAACAAATGACTGTTAGTGCCTACCTCGTGTGGTTTGCATGTACTTGGCATGTGTGGTGCGTGAGCACACTGCATGTTTTTCTCTAATGCTCTCCGCCTTATTGCCTTCAGATAGGATTTGTTTAGGCTAGGCTGGCCGACCAGCGAGCTGTGGGGATCCACCTGTCACTGTTTGCCACAATGCTGGGTCATTAGTACTGGCTTTTTATACAGATAACTGGGGATTTGAACTTCATGCTTGCAGACTAGGGGCCCTTACTCACTGAGACACCTCTCCAGCACACTCTAGCAATTTGTTTCCTTTGTAGCTAACCTAAGGTGCCTTAATCATGTATTTAATTATATTATTACATCCCCCTTTCTCTATGACCTTTTGAATTGTGGAGGCCACATCTGATATACTCTGAAAGTCAATTTAGTTCCTGTAGTACATCATTTTCAAAATTATGGCCTTCCTTTGTATCTTCGGGGTAATAGAGCCATTCAATCACCAATTGCTAGTTTTACAGCAAGCAACTTAGGAGATATTAGTGAACAAGAAGCAAAGATCCTTTACGAAGGTTACATTTGGAATGATGGGAGAGAGGTAACAAGCACAAATTAGCTTCTATAAAATGTTAGAAGAGTTGGAAGAATAGAGACATGCAGAGAATTGATGACACACTGAAAGCAGAATTCAGTGAGATTACAGGCACGTGCCACCACACTCAGCCTTATAATTTCATGTTGGGCATGAACAATCAGAAATGTGTAATGATAAAAGATGGCAAGTGAAATGTTCCATGAGTCCATTTCCAAGAGGAAGCGACATGAACTTGGGATCTATCAGAACAAAGCCGTTTCATGATGATATTCAGTAAGATTTCTAAGGGAATGTGTTCAGAGAAGACCAAGAGTTGGATCCAGGAGTATTATCACAATGTTAACAGTTAGGGACAGGAGTACCAGCCAGTAAAGTAAAAAGGACCTTCAGAAGTGGAGTTACCAACTGTATCTCATGCTGACATGCCAACAATAGGGACTTCTGGATTTATCAACACAGCGGTCATCAGTGAATTTTCCTGAGAGTAAGATTGGTTGGGTCTGTTGGCAAAACTTGACTGAAGTACTTTACGGGAATGAACCAAAAGCTCAACATAGAGCAAAGGTGGCTAGATGGTGAGACAAGTGGGTTAAAATGATGGGGTTGTGTTTTTGTGTGGTGCCAGCAGAGCAGTGTGCGGTTGCATGCGCACAGTGGTCTCTCAGGAAGTTGGAAGATGACCCCTTTGTCTGGAGTGGCTGGCTGGCTAGCGAGCTCTTCGAACCCACATGCCTCTACCCCGCAATGCAGGCAGGGGTTATAGATACATGCAGCCATGTATTTCCACGTATGTTATGTGGGTCCTGGGGATTTGAGCTCAGGTCCTACCCAATGAATAAACTCCCTGAACCCAGTTTTTATATGGAGTGAACAGCAAGCTTTTGTTACAGGGATCACTGAAGCACATTCTCCGCCCCAAGCGCAGTGTTACTGGTAGGCTTCATGTGCCTCAAGACATGCCTCAAGGAGATCGGGCACACTCACACAAGACCTAAGTGCGCTAAGTTCCTTCAAGTACCTACAGCAGGAAGCACAGTGAATGTTCCAGAGCAGTGCTTAGTCTAAAGGGCATGTCTAAGTGTAACTGGGATTAGGAAAGATCTGGCCTTTTGGACTGGTTCTCCCATAAAGTGAAAATTAGATTATATTAGATACTGCCACTCTTGGAATGTACTTAAGGTGTTTCCTATCTCCAGTCCTGACTGTAGCACTGTATAACCCTTTTTGAAGTAGTAAAGAGATGACACTTAGGGTATGGAGGGAGGCTGGAGACAATGATCACTACTGGGGCTGCTATAAAAGACAGAACAGCTGAGGGATAGGTACCAGGTGTTCCAATGGAGAGAAATGAGAAAAAATATATACAAACAAAACCAGAAAAGTGCTGGCCCTCCCCCTTCCTTTTTGCAAGATGCATATGCTTTACATGTACATGTATGTATGCGCATATGTATGCATGCTTGTATGTATAAAGATACGTTCTTGTAGCCCAGGCAGGCCTCAAGCTATTCAGTTGTCTTTGGCCTTGAACTCCTTCCTGATCATGTCTCTATTTCCGAGTACTGGAATTATGAGCTTATAGCACCATGCCGGGCTCTGATGAGGACTGAATTATTAACATTGATAGGACCTTGTCCTTCCTCTCTTTGAAGCGGACATGAGTGAGGATAAGCAAGAGTGCCTGGATCGCTGGCCGCTGCTGACACAGTGCTGTACATTGAGAAATTCTTTCTAGATGGGTTTTTCTTTTCTCCAGGTACTTCACTGGAAAACAGGGACCAATAAATCAATGCAATAAATCAATGCAAATGAGTATTTTGCTTTGAAGTTAGGTCAATAGGTAACATACAGAACAAGCCAAAGTGCTTACTTTTCATTTTCTGCAAAATGGTTTATTTTGCTGTTTTACTATGGAGAAGCTACAATACAATCCCATATAAACACAAAGGACTGAGCTTTGGAGCACTGTAAAACATAAATTCGTGAGGAACTGAGAAGCAGGGAGAGGGGCATGGAATCTACATTTGCTCATCTCCCATAATACCTCTTACGTGTCAAAGGCACTTTGCCGAAATGGTTAAATTAGGGATCATGGGATGTAAAATAATGACAATAAAATAACGACACCTAAGACATAAAAACAATGCTTGAATTTTCTTATAGATTGATCTCTAACATTTTACTAAATCCTCAGACATTTGCAATTTACAGCTTCAAAATGTGATTTTTATTTCATAATCTTTTCAAGCGAAAAGAACGGAACGCAACACTGTAAAGCCACAATTTTTCTATACTCAATTATAATAGGAACACTTTTATTTGTTGGTTCCCCTAGATCAATCATTCAGTGCACACTGGAAACCAGCCCTCAGTAACATGCCGCCGGCACAGTGTGACTTCTCGAGCACTGTGACACACCTTCGTCTGGCTGCCGTCAGGGGCTTGTAGCCCTGAGGTGGGTGCTGCAGTGCTAAGAGTCACAACAGGGTGTGGTCCTTGCTTTAGAAGCTTAAGCTTACACTTATCCCAACTGGATTAGAAACATTTTTCTCCCTGTCCCTACTCACTTGTTCTAAGTAGCTTTGTAAAATAAAACAAGAGCCAGAATAAAAGTTACCCCTTATTCTACTTGACATATTAAAATAAATATCCAAGGAAGACTAACATCAGACTTCAAAAGAAGGCCCATCTGCACATGGTAGAGCCCACGTGCAGTCTACTTCAGAGGCTAAACTGGAATGATCACTTGCGCCCAGCAATTTTTTCTTTGATCAAAAAGAAAAAAGGCTGCAGGGTTCGGTGGCAAATACCTTTAATCCCAGCACTCAGGAGACAAAGGCCAGTGGCTGAGTTTCAGGCCAGGCTGGGGTTACACAGTGAGACCCTGTCTCTAAACGAAACAAAACACCCCCCCCCAAAAAAAAAGACACACACACACACACACACACACACAAAAAGGCTTAGGCTCTGTCAGTTTAAGGGAGGGTAACGGGTGGCATTTGTACGGACTAAGATGGCCCCTTTCTGCTCCTTCTGAGCTACTGTCTTTACAGTTTTTTTGGCAACTGCCTTCTCCCCAAAAATGTGTTTATTGACTCAAGTTCTTACTACCACTCTCAGAAAGGTAAAACTGATTCCAGTTACATTCCTATGTGAAAACACAAAATCTGATTAATACTACAGTCTCTAACTTAGAAACACTCTGACTCAATACAACTAAGAACATCTAATGACATTTGTTTTCAACACTGAAAAAACATCTTGCATATTTTCTAACCATAAAGTATATACAAGATAAGTCTATTTGGGCTACAGTGCTGACAGGACACATGACAGGTGTAAGCGGCAAGGAGGGACGTCAAGTTCTTTTCACTTTTCTGATCCTCACGCTCTGTGTGTGTACGCATTTACAGGGTACCCACATGCTCTACACAAAAGAAAGCTGTCGATTTCTGCTCTCAAACATTCCTTTCTAACGCAGAACCCAGGAACGAGGTGCAATGACAGTCTACAGCACTGTCTCAGGCACTCTGCGCCTGCTGTGTGTGACTCTTCTCCATTTTAAGCAATGTTCCATCACCAATGCTGGACCTTTCTTTAATCTATAAATTTCCCAGTTTATAAAATTTTGGGACACTTTCCAGTGAGTTTCGTTAGGACAAAAGAATCAAGAGAGCACAGGCATCACTGGGCTGTGATGGAGCTGCTGCAGGGGAAGAGGCTTCGGCTACGGACAAACCACAGGGGCACGCTTCAGGCATGGAAGAAGTGACCTGACTTCACTGGGCATCAACTAACATTAGCAAAGCTACTTGAATTTTTCTGTTGATCTTCACTGTTGTTAAATAATGATAGTTTTGATGGTGGTAAAACTTCATTTTTTCAAGTGCAGGATGATCTGAGCTGAATGAGAGAAAGAACGATTAAGGAGGAAATGAAGGCAGGCCAGGCATCAATTTGAACAACTATTTCTCTTTTGGTTTGTTTGCTTGTTTGGCTTTTTTTTTCAGACAGGTTCTTACTCTATAGCCCAGGCTGGTCCAGAACACACCATGAAGCCTAGGATGGCTTCAAAATCATGGCAACCTTTCTACGTCAGTGTTCAGACAGCAGGGATTACAGGTGAGCCGTCACACCTGGCTCTCCTCAGCTTCTTATTGTAGGAACGCCCATACTTCCAGTATCTCAGACTAATGTCATTTTAAGGTTTCAGGATTATGCAAAATCAAAAAAGACAAAATGATAAATAAACTGTGAATGAAGCCATCACTGCTGTAAAATTCTCAGTCACATATCAACAGGGTTTCCCAAATAGCACTACACTTAAATATAAAACACTATACATATCAATAGTTACATAATCTAAATTTTTTACACTTAATGTTTTAAAAATAATCTTATAGTTATTTTTTAATAATTGTTTCTTTGAAAGTGGCATACTTTATTAAAAGAAGTATTGAAAAAATGGGGTCTTTTTAAGGAAAGAAACCTTCATCCTTACCAATAGACATCGAGTTAAACTAGACTTCCAGACCAACTAATGGAAAGTTAGTGACTTATGGGTTCAGTTACAATGAAAACAAGACAAATGTCTACCGGGACCAGCTCTGCTGATTCAAGTAAAACGTCTCCATCCCTGAACTGCAGCTGCTGGGACTGAGAAGACTCCTTGCTGTCTTTTTAAAATGCTTTATTATCCATTCAGGTGCTGTGCACACGAACTGAGAAACTGAGTCAAGAGACCAGAAACTGTAAGCTCCAGCAGTTATATCTAGGATATAACTTAATCTAGGATAGGAAACTAGCTAGGATATCACTTAACCTTGCTTCCACCTTTCAAATTTCTTTCCATTCTAAACATTTTGGTCTGTTAATATTAACCACTGTAGAAGTAAACCAAGAAAAATCCAATTGTTTTATACATTTTGAATTAAAATAATCACAGAAGTAATACCTGTTATAGGGGAACATCCCCCCCCTTAATACTGGCCATCGCTGTGAACTCTATTTCTAGCTTAAAATGTCCATGTGAACAAGTTCTTGTTGCCTGCAATTTTACTATCATGCCTTTTCCTCCTTCACGTCAGGATGCATTTCCGTCTTGACGTGTTTAAGCAGTATTAAAGGGGCTGACACAGTGCGATGGGTGTATCGGGTGAGAGCAGGCTGGGCTCGGCAGTGGCTCCTACGCCTCGGTACTGACCACACACAGACCAGCCACGCTCCCTGCAGCTGGCAGCTCACTGCCAGGGGATGTCTGAACACTTGATGGTGTAACACCTCTCTTCCCAATGGTGTCAGAGAACACAAAAGTGTTCAATCAAAGACTGTGATAACTTCCGAACTTCTGGCACAGGGTTACTTAAAGAGGGAAAACTACTAACAAAAAAGAAGTCAAAGAAAAAATTACCTGCAGATTTCACTTACTCACATCAGAATTAGTCCCTTTTTATTGTAGTTTAACTGACAACCGACTGGACCAAGACTGGGAGCTACATATTGCTCATTTTCAAACACTCCAATGACATTCTCCAATAATTTTATTATCTCCAGTTTTATGGCACCGTATTATGCTTTTCACACTGTTTAAATTTCCCATTTTCAAAATGCAAATACCAAAAAATTACCACATATTCCCCTTTACAGTCAGAATAGCTTTACTGGAATGTTTTCAGGTAGAGCTGAAGGCAGAAACGTTTACAACGCTTAGCTTTTGTTAATCCATAAATGTGGAAATTGCCTGTAAAGCAACTGCAACATGAATGACATTCTCGCAAACACTGATGGGCTGGGACCCTACACAGGCTTCCTGACCACCAGCTTGACCCTCACTTTGATGAAATAATAAATGCTTTTAATGCCACTAAAACACAAGTATGGGATATTGTCATCAGTGTTTAACTATATATACAAATAACAAACTGGCAAGTATCTAGTTTCAAATTAGATCCTTGGAATAAAGCAAAATAGTTATCTTTTCATTAAATATAATTATTCAAAACACATTTCATTAGTTGGGAAGATGATTAGATATTCTCAATGCTCCAATTTGAAGTGGTACTTGCCTTTTAGTTTCTTGAAAAAGAAAATTTGAAAGTTATATACATAGGTTTCATTTAAATTATGCAGCAATCTTTAAATATTATTGTCCCAGATCTTGTTTAATGAGGATCTCTGTCATCAAATCAAGTACGGTATTTCACAACTATAAGAACTGTAAGAGAAAAAAGTAAAACAAAAACAAAAACAAAAAAAAAGAAAAAAAAAGAATGCATGAAAATCAGAACCATATCACAACTAGGTCAGAAGCACAATTCCTAAGTGTAGGTTTTGGCCACTTTAAGAGGAGAACAGGGGGCCAAACTCTGATCTGAAATAACAACTATGAAATAAGAAGAAATGCAAATACATCATAAAACAACCCGAGTGTCTAACACTGGTCTCTTGAGCAAATAAACCATGGTAAAACAGGAGCCTGAGCAGCGTCTAAAACATTATTACCATATTTAATGTGGGAAAGTAATGCATAAAGTATGTATTAGAAAACATCTGATGTAATCTTAGCTTTTGAAAATCATGCTTACATATCAATAGAAAAAGACTTAAAGCATATGCAATAGTTATACTGACAGTAGCTATCACTGGTGACAGTACAGTTGAATTTTATAGTTCTTTTTATTCTAGTCTGTATTTTGCATGGTGTCCACTATATATTGTAGGTTCTTGGTATCTGAGGTAATTATAGTCTACAAAGTTATCATGAACCCTGAACTGGTAAATAGTGAACCATTATCCTAGGGAAAACACAGGGTAAGTTTCCCATGAACCTCTGGCTACTCCACTTCAGTCAATAAATTAATACATAATCTTGTTTAAAGTGTTTCTATTAAAAGACATCTTGTTTAATAGACATCATTTTGAAAATTACTATGAATTCAAGGCCAGCAGCACTTTAGCTCATCCCTGAACACAGTCCCTGGCCCACATGTTTTCCGTTAAGGTGTAGCAGCAAGGCCTGCTGATACTTAGTAACGGGGACAGCATTTCTATCCTTGAGGTCCATTTCAAAACATGAAGTCAACAAAAATATGGACCACACAGTCTATGAAAAAGACACTGGGTACACTATGAAAGCCAAAATAAAAAGGCAGACCTCCCTTTGACCCCAGCTGGAAACCTGTGGGTTAGGGGCTCAGAACTCTTCTTGCTCTGAATGCATCTGCACATGACCACCGAAGTAACAGCAGCAACAACATGGGGTTACAAATGGACTTCAGCTAGTAAACACATTCACACAACAACCCAGGTAATGAGACTGGATTGTATTTCTTTTCTTTTTTTTTTTTTGGATTGTATTTCTTTGTAACATTTTCTTCTAAGTTAAAAAAATACTCTCATGAAAATTTTCAATTGTCTTTTTTTTGAGACCCTTTGTAGTTCTTCATAAAATTTCTGTAAACATAAGAAAAGAGACTTTGAAGAAAGGTACTTTATAATAACAAAAAGAAAACTGTATTTTGGTCCTAAGTATAACAGATGCCAGATTTAGCTTTTTTTTTTTTTTAAAAAAAAAAAGGCCGGTCCTGTGATGTATCTGGGGTATGGCTGAGGAGCAGGAGGGAGTATCCTTTGAGAATCTAACAAGAGATATAGAGTCCTTACAGAAAAGTACACATGTATATTCACATAGAAGACCATACATTTTAAAAGCATTTCTTCAGAGATTGAGAGATTCTAGGTAATGGTTGCCTCCTTATTCAAATAATGTCATTCTTCAATGCTGATATTACATATAGTAGGTCAACAGAAATTAAAAGGAATTAAAATGATTTTAAAATAACACGCTAGCCAGAGGTCAGCCTGAGCTACACAGTGGCATTTAGGACAGCCTGGGCTACATAGTGAGACTATGTCTCTGAAAAAAAAAAAAAATCAAAACCAAATCAAACTGTACAAAACACAATACCCTAAGAGATAATGATCCAATAAATACTTACTGATAATCATTAGCAAAAGGATAGCTGCTGCCAAAGCCATGATGGCTTTTATCTGCAACACACAAAAAGACAAATGAAAGAGTTGACTTGTTAATGAAAACAGGACTATCTGTTCTGCTATTTACTATCCTGTACTATGTCATCAAAAGACAGGCCCATTCCCTGAAGGCTTTCCAATTCACTGTTTCTCACATGAACATGATGGCTGTTTTCACTTCCCTGTAAATAATCAAAGTTCTGCACACATGAAGGGTTTTGCTGTGTTGGCTGTTCTGATCCAAGGCTGTACTACACAGTAAGCAGCCACAGTCAAGCCTCCCATTGGCAGACACAAACTGTCCTTTTGGCAACTCTGCTCAGGACTGGATGAAAACATGGGCGGTCAGTCCATGTACTGTTTATAGAAGTGGTTCTGTCTTATCTGGAGAGCTATGTTCCTTATAGACCTGTCTTCAATCCATACATGGATCCATATAAATCCTCTATATGCAGCTTTCCCTGTAAAGACAACCTATAATAATAAACTGACAAATTACATGGAAGAGACTAGTAACTGACAACAAAATGGAGTAAGTGTATAGTAAGGCAAAATAAATTTGGTGTTTCTCTTCCAAGAGCCACGACAAACAGTAGGTTCCCCCAACTGCAGTTCACTGGATAACCAACAATATGGAAAATAAAACCATGAACATGGGTCTGTTATCGATATGGCAGCAAGCTTCATGGGGACTGTTATATATATGGCAGCAGGCTTCATGGTGAACCGTTACATATGTGGCAGCAGGCTT